TGTAATAGTTGTGCCACTTGCTCCAATTTGCGACCTTTGCACCAAAAATGTGCAATTTGTTGAGGTTGCGCCTCTATGTGCCAAAATGACCTTCTAGCCTCAAAATATTCACTTGTAAGGCGTTCCTAACCAAGTCAAGATCAAAATCGTGGCAAATCCACTCTACAGAAACATGAACTCAGTTGCCTACGTAGAACACAAACGCCACAGAGCAATGCTGCTTCTCTAGACACCTGACACAAGCGACAAAGCCACAGTTGTAGATCTGAGGCCATATACCCAGCAGAGAGCACATTCTGCAGCACGGTCGACATGATTGAAAAATGCAGCAACACAACTACAGTATTAAAGGGGCTCTGAAACACTTTTTCAAGTAAGCATGAAATGAATTCACTGGAAGAGCTTATTGCGTCATGAATTCAATGGCGCAAACATTTCAATGATCCATCCAGTGTGAGTGTAGTTAAAAAAAAAGATTTGTTGCATACTGCAATTGCATTCTCTCTTCTCTCATCTCGATGAAAGCGCTGGAAGCTAAGCAGAGAGGGATGGCAGCGGCAAAAATAATGTCAGGCGTGCCTCGTGACCTTGAGCACTTTTTTCTTTCTTTTTTTTCGAATGCATGACTTTTTCAGTGTGAACGCGCGTGCACGCGTGGACAAGTCGCAGCCTGTCGCGGCGATGTCTGCAAGGACCGAGCGCACCATGTTCAAATCAGCCAATGGCTGATAAATGGCTTTCTAGGAGTGATTTTTGAGCCTTTTTCGCCATTTGCTTACAGAAGAGAAAGCAATTTTTAGCTGACTTAATAATTTATTGTGAACTCCAAACTGTGTGCTGTGCTATAATACTTGGGTCGCACGTTATCGAGAGCCTCTACTACCGATCTGCAGCGTTTTCTGACCATGCTCAAGAAGTGTTGCAGGGTCTTTTAACTGTTGGTATTTAAGAGAGCAGGTAGCAATTGCCGTGGCCCTCATCTCCACTAAACACAGCGTCATTCTGAGCTAGTCAATCGTTGCAAGGGGCATTTTGTGCAAGGAGGCATTTCACATCATTCTTTCAGAATTGTAATGAGTAGCTAAGACAAGCATTCGCAGGAGCCCATATATCAAATAAAAAATCTGGTTTTTAGTGCACACAGACATAGACATGCGTCACCCAAATGGGGGGGGGGGGGGGAGATTTTCCATGTGCTGTCAGAAGAACCGATCCACTGCATATCCCAGGGGTACCCTCGTTTAGAGATTCTGTTAGGCAAGTAAATGGCTTCAAATACCTTGCACAAGCACTAGTTTAAGACCCTTCACTAATAGCTACAGGCAGGGGATAAGTATACAGTCGACATCTTATTTCTCAGATGCCCAAAATCCGGACATGCTTGATTTCCTGAACTCATCTGTGGCACTGTCAAGTTCCCCATAGAGTCATTGTATTAAAAGTCCGAAATTCCAGACGTTTATAGTATAGCTTTCGCTATCTGATTTTCCTGACTTTTTACCGCTAACCGCAGACTCTATGCCACTATCGACGCTGTCATTTTGGTTATTTTCGGACCCTCAACCCGCTGCACCGCAGTTGCTGTACCCTTGAAACCAAAAATGATGCAATCCAGTGCACGCCGATTCGTTGAAAGCTGTAGCGTAGGCCGCATGGTCTGGTATGGTGCTGCGCAGCCTGTGCTCCTAGAGCAGGAAATACTCTGCTGTTGACCTATTTGACCTATGGTCTACCGTCTGCATGCTTGCAGACTTGTGGAAGGTGGTTACGCAACAGACCCTCAAAACTGTTTTTGCCACGCGCGCTGTACACTGGACAGCGAGACAGCCGTCCCTCCCGGAGTGGACAGTGTGTGCGACAAACTTCGACACATGGACATTGCCTTTGATGATCTGCACGTTGCCGGTGTTTCGATTCCAGCCGAGATAACCCTTGAGGGCTACATCGACGCTGACGAAGACCTTAAGCTGTGTGTAGAACTGACCGATGATGAAGTCGTTCGTAAAGTTACGGAGAATTCCAAGGACTCTGACACCGAGATAAAGAGGCAGCACCTACATAGCGAACGAACTTGGAGTTGACCTGAGCACTGATGCTGTCATCGGTGTACAGCGACATGACAATTGAAATTGAAGCAGATGTCATTGCGGGCAAATGGAATGACGGGCAAATGACAATAAGCAAATTATTTATTACGCCTATGTGTTAACAAATGCGGTAGTGCCAGCAACATTGGATTTTTTTTTCTTTTTTTTCTTTCGGCTCATTTCAGAGCCACCTAAACCATGCATATGCTGAATTGCAATGAGAACTCTGTACTCTTAGTGTGACCTACTCCTTCATTGAAAAATACCTATTAAAAAGTATATTTTCACTTGCATTCATTTTTCCGGACTGCTTGATTCGCAGATTTCCGGATATTTTCGCAGTGCCTTGAGGGTCGGGTAAATGAGACGTCGACTCTGTGGACTTGTACGAATAGTGAATTTTAGGTTCGAAGCGAATAGCAAGTTTGCTCGAATAATTTCGAATCGAATTCGAATTATATGTATTGATGTACGTCATAAAAAATGGGAATATTTATCATGACCTAACTAACCTGCACATGGTTTTTTAAAAATTGAAATAGGGGTGCTATGGAAATGTAATTTTTTTTTCATTCAAAAGAAGTTGAATCAACCTGGAGTAGTAGCGGGATATGAGTTTCAGTAGGATGCCAGTGATAACCTGTAAAATACTTAAAATCTTAAAATTTATCATCCTTAGAGCATATAAGTCGTCATAACAAGCTTTTAAGCTTAATAAATTGATGATTTAATTCGAGGGTAACATGTTCATTTAAAGAGGCCCTGAAACACCTTTTCAAGTAGCCACGGAGCCATAAATGAGCTTGTTTCTTCACACATTTACCGCCACAAAATTTTTGGAATGAGTTCAGTACGAGCAGAGTTCAAAACATTTGTTGAATGCTGCAATTTCATTTTCGCTTCTCGTCCCGACGAAAGAGCTGGAACCTAAGCAGGGAGGGATGGCACAGGGAAAGCAAAAACGTCATGCGTCACCTTGAGCACTTTTTTATTTTTTCTTGGGATACGCGGCCTTTCAGTGTGATCGCGCACGTATTTGTGAACAAGCGGCGGCCGTAGTAACGACCAAGCGTGCCATGCTCAATTTAGCTACTGGCTGATTTTGACAAGTGATTTGACAAGTGGCAAGGGATTTTTGAGCTTGTAGTGTCATACCCGAGGCAAAAGAGCAATTTTTATCTTTCAAAATTTATTGTGAATAGCAGGCCACGTGCAGCGCTAAAATATTTGTCTCGCGTGTTCTTGGTAGTCGCAACTACCTATCGACAGCGTTTTCTGACCATGCTCAGAAGTGTTGCAGAGCCCCTTTAAATTTGAAGGAGGGCTTCGCGGCAAAGCTAATTTTTTTATAGGTGTTTTCACGGTATGGCATTCCTACACTGCAGTGAAACCGTCCTTACAGGCAGTTAGATGGGGATTTATGTACGTTTATTTATTCGTTCATTGCGAATACTTCGAAATTTTCAAGAATTGAAATTCAAATCGAAGCAAATTTGAATACTTAACTATTCGTTCTAATTTTCGAAGCATTCGAATATTTGCACATGCTTAGTCGACTGTATTCTCAGCTCTGTGTAATTTAAAGGAGTACCGACACCTTTTTTTCGAAGGCGAGTTTGTCTGCCATAAAAATCTCCTGTATGCAGAGATCCCTCTGAGGAAGTGTGAAGCTTAGCGAATGCGGATAAGATATTTTATTTTGATTTTAAAGTGAAATTTTTCTTGGCCATCCTGTTGACTTCAGCACTAGCTTGACGGCAGGCTACAGTACAAATTTCGGTGACTTCATGCAGCAGTCCGGCAAGTTGGGATGACGTCGGTCAACAAAAATAAGCAAATAGCAGCCTGGCTGCGCGTCGCCTTCTCGGTCGTCTGCTCGCAGCGTGCGGTTGCTATCATTCAGCGAACCTGTGAGGCGAGCGAGCGGAGTCTAGAGTGTCGTATGTCCTTGTGAGTACAGAATATACACTCCTCAGAGGGCAAGGGAGTGATTTGATCTGAATCTGTCGCCATGGCACCGATATTTTGCCCTGTGAATTCTTGCACTAGTGAAACGGGGGATAGGTGCAAGTTCCACCGATTGGCGTCCGATCCAGCGCTGAGACAAGCGTGGGTCGACTTCGTGCGCCGCGGCCAAGGCGGAGGCTGGACGCCGACCTAGCGGAGTTTGCTCTGTTCAGTCCACTTCACTGAAAATGCTATTGACATTTAGGACAACCTGAAGATGCCTGCGCGAAATCAGCCAATAGACACGAAATTCTTACCATTTGACGTTCCCGGTGCACAAGGCATGGCGTTATCGTTTTCTGATGCCTCTTCTTCCGACGAGCTTGCAAGCGGGTCGAAAGTGAAATTGTTGGCAGGGTCAGCAAGCTCAGCATCCTCTTCTCTACCGAAGTCGCTACTGTCGTCAGAGTCGCTTGACCAAAGTTCGTCCATCGTTGACGGCGCACAAGATGCTACACGTGCGGCGCGCAGCAGATGACAACTGAGCCACAGGCGCCCGGGGATATATCACGATAACTTGCGCATGCACATACTAACGTTTGGGGGCGCTGTTCGCACCATGTCGAGATGTCAGGGTACAGTCGAAACCGAAACTAGCTTTTAAAAACACCTTGTGATTAATTTTTCAGGGCACACTCACGTTTACCGGTACATTTTCTAGGCTCTTGGGGCCTTGGCCTATCATTTGACGCAAAAAAAAAAACGATAACCTAAAAATTTCCTGTCAGTGCTTCCTTAAAAGAGGCATTAGTTATCCATAAAAACGAATTTTGAATGTAAATGCATTTCAGTGTTCTCTTTTTTTTTGCCCACCCCTCATGATAAGTTTGTGTTTTAAGAAAGTGAGGTGATGAAGTGCAAAGCTTGTATTTAAATCGCTCGCCTTGGAATAATTTGTATTTGCAGGTTGCAGCTGGTGCAACAGGTGTTGCCCAAAGGTGCCTCGACGAAGCAGCCAAGTACAGCTTGGAGCGCAAGGCTTTCGGCCAGCCTATCTGCATGGTCAGTTGAAATGTCTGTAGACACCGGTGTCCTAGGGCTTCTGAAATGTGAGGTCTATAAAAAGTTATGCCAGCAAGGTATCTTCTTGGCACTTATGAAGGCATCGTAGACGGTCAGGCGACCCAAAAGTGCAAGGAAAGCTAGGTTGTATGTCCTTTCTTTGTGTTCTGCGGTTTTTGTTCTGTTCTTTTAATCTTGTCATTTGATGTTTGAGAAAAATACTATCATGAATTTTAAATTTGTGCAACTGTAAGCTTGAATTATGGTTAGTCTACTTTTGTAGGATGATTTTAGAGGAGCTTCTTATCGGGTTTATAATTTTAGGCACAGTTCTTTTTGTCTCAATTGAAAGGAGATGAATGACTCATGAACTTCTTGGTGTTGTTTCCTTTGTAGCATGTGGTATGCCTTTTTGTTTTGTCTACCTGTATTGCAATTGTTGATGGGTGTTCTTTCTTGCAGCACCAAGCAGTGCAGTTCATGCTAGCCGAGATGGCCATGGGTGTAGAAGTGTCGCGCCTGGCTTGGATGCGGGCTGCTTTTGAATCGGATCAGGGCCGCCGTAACAGTTACTACGCGTCGATTGCCAAGGCGCTTGCTTCAGATGTCGCCAACAAGTGCGCCACGGATGCAGTGCAAATCTTTGGGGGCAATGGCTTCAACTCTGATTACCCTGTCGAGAAGCTCATGCGTGATGCAAAAATTTACCAGGTGAGTTGGCCATCTGGGCCACTGTAGTGAGTTCACAGTGCTTGCATTGCTAGCTTGCCCTAGCAGCCACCATCTTGCTTGAGGCAAGTATGAAAAGAATCGCAGCATATCCATGGAGTGAATGATAAGTGGGGCGAAGCGTTCCTCCGTCTGTCTGTCTGTGCATCCATCCATCCTATTGCACACACTTCTATTACGCCCCGCCGCGGTGGTCTAGTGGCTAAGGTACTCGGCTGCTGACCCGCAGGTCGCGGGTTCAAATCCCGGCTGCGGCGGCTGCATTTCCGATGGAGGCGGAAATGTCGAGGCCCGTGTGCTCAGATTTGGGTGCACGTTAAAGAACCCCAGGTGGTCAAATTTCCGGAGCCCTCCACTACGGCGTCTCTCATAATCATATGGTGGTTTTGGGACGTTAAACCCCACAAATCGAAATCGAAATCGAACACTTCTATTAGACCAATGCCATCTAGGAAATGAGACGAGAAATGGTGATGAGGTCATAAGACAGCGCCATCTATTAGACTGTTCGAAAGATACTGCATGTTACGCCTGATTCAGAACAAGGTTAGACTAAGAGGAGCTTCACCCCTAAGACTACCAAATCTAAAGTTTATCTTGTTTCTGGCAAAAGTAGTCTGCAAATTTCCTGCGTGTACAAACAAGACGGAAATCATGTTGGCAAAGGCCTCCCATCAGAAAGGTCAGGCGATGTCGTCACAATCACGAACTGGCGGCGGAAACATTTTGTTACGAGTTTATGCAGGATGATTTCGTGTGCGCATGTGCACTTCCTGCCCTCTATTTGTTTCCGTCAAAGTGCTCTTGGTGATGTGCCACTTATTATGAATGCTCGCATCACAGGAACGCTATTTGCATGCTGAAGATACTTTCGTCGTGCTCTTTCTGCGTGCTCAAGGTCTGTGACAATGACTAGCACAAACAAAGGGAGGTCCTCAGCTGCATATTGACAATAAAAGTTTCCGTAGGCCGAAATCTGTAAAATATACAGTCCTTGAAGATGAACTTGTTGTCTGGCTTAAGGGGGGACACAGGTTTTGGAAGGGCAAAATAGCGAAAAAATCGACTTTTTGAAGCTGACATTTTCGAAATCTGTACCTATTTTCGCACCTCTCTGAGAAGTTTCTAGCTTCTCGCGTCATTAATTCTGGCGCAACATCAATTTATAACATCCTTGTGAGATGAATGTGAGCGCAAATCGACGCTAAAATTGTGCTTTTTCTGCGCTGGACTGTTGCCGTTACACACAAGCTATCGTGTTCATCTTGGTCTCATTTGGAAGGGTCGTTCTTCATCTTCAATTTCCCGCCACCGCTGGCTTGCCTTGCTCATGGGTTTTTCAGCAAAAACGCGTTATCAAGAAGCACTAGCGCGCGATTCTGTTGGCTGCTTAGGGCACGTGACAAAACCTAGGCATTCGATTGGCCAAGTGGCGTTTCCAGCGTCTGCTTCCCCATCGTGACGCGCACGGACATGCTCCATTTTTTCATGGTGCTACTGACTACCTGTGACAGTAAAGAAGTTCCGTGCTACAGTAATTTGTGAAACGGGTGTGGCGATCGTTCGTTCGCTGTGAACTTTAGAATGAGCCCCGCCATGGCTCAGGACAACGAGGATAACGAACTCGACGCGGTCAACAACGGTCGCCGAGTCACCGGTGTAGGCCTAACTCACGTACGAGCCCGTTGGTTGCCGACAACGTTACTGAGAACGGCTGTGTTTTGCAGCCTCATCAGTTAAAATACGGCAAGTAAAAAGCAGAAGTGAAGCTACAAGAGATATCAATCTTTGTAGTGACGGAACGGAAGTGCAGTCTTATCGCTAAACGCTCCGATGCCGCGGTTCCCCCTGTCTGACGAAAGGACCTTGAAGTGCGCGACGGGTCATCAGCGTGGAGTACGCCGCGCGTCGACGAGCAACAGAAAGTCAATCTGTTCGCGGTGAACGGCTCGCCGCCCCTGCAATGGAGGCTACTGGCAACAGGTAGACTGCTTTTAACGACGTGTTCACAATGTTGTCGCGATCTCCGCTCGAAAATGCGGCAGTCTTACGTGAAAAGGAAACTAACACCTCGGCACTCCTGTAGCCTCGAAATTGAGGAGCGAGGGAGCAAACTTGGCTCGTGACATTTACGGGTAACTCATTCTGGACAAGCCGGAAAACATCGACATGTTATTTGACGGATCACGGATGACGCACGCACATTTGTTGCACATCGCCATCAGTACAGTCACCGAACTGATAAGCGGCCTCGCGGCAGACGAGCACACGGTGACAACTTGCTACAGGACTAGAAGAAACGACACGCTCCTGCAAACAATGAGTCCTGTTACATTCCTGCTGCATAATAACTGACTAAAAGTATGTGAGCCATGATATTTTCCCTCAGAACGGGGAAATAAAGTTTTAACAGCATTATTCTCTAAGTACAGATTTTGACCACTTTCTTTTGCTTGTTCGGTTACAGTGGACCTAGGACAGTTAGAGCTGTGATTGCTTTTGCACAATGTAGCTAAATATACAGAAAAAACAATGCTGGGAGCTTATTTTAATGAGCAGCTTCATTTTTTTATGCTAATAAAAAAATTTCTGTATTTGGTTACATGCAATGAACTTTTCTGTGCTGTAATTCGAGAAGTACTCGTTCAATTTTCGATCAGCTTGCAGCGTTGAACTCCTTAGGCTTTCTAGCATTCATTTATATGTCAATGGCCATGTAATTCTAAATATGAACATTTTTACAGTTAATTATGTTAGAATTCCTTGTTTCCTTCATTTTCTCAAAATGCAATTTTGTACACGCTGCATGAAAATTACTGCAATATATCAGAAACTATTACAGATAGCAGAATGTTTTTTTTTGCAGCATGAAGCTATATGTTTAGAGCACACAACATAGGAAGCAGATTTTGATTTCTCTTGATGCAAGTTTTTTAAACTAGTCTTTTGTGTGACCACACAATGGCCTTATTCAGAGCTGTAAAGTTTAGTGTACTGTAAAGTAAGAAATAATGACCTAATCAAAAAAGTGTTTCCTATGTTGTATGTCTTATGCTTTCTACTGTCAATCCCTATGCCATTTATGAATTTTTGACAGGTGGTTATTTTTCTATTGTGGTAAGAGCAATAGAAATTGTTATTTTGATTATTTAATTAACTGATGAAGCTACAGAAAAAATAACTACATATTTAGAATCAAGAGAACAAATTAAGTAAGCATGCCAACTTTTGTCACATTTGGTTCTAAAATAAATGAGAGAGCCCTAAGACCCATGTCCCCCCTTAAACAGGCACTAAAGGAAAATAACAATCTGTGTGAAAGTGAAAGGTCAATGCTTGGAATGTCTAAAAGTCTATTAATATTGTGCAAAGCAGTACTTTAGTAATAGGAAAATTAATAGGACATGATTTGCACCACCAGTGTGGCATATTTGAAACACAAGCCCGATGTGTAGTAGGGCATTGCTGCATTTAATCACAAATACTCAAGCTACCCATGACTAAAAGAATGCCTTGTTTGCTTGTGTAATGGGTGGACTTTTTTTTTTTCCAGAAAATCTGGCGCCAAGGTTAGGGTATGCCTACTCTAGGGGCAATATTTTCAAAATTTTATTTCGGACTCCAGCATAGACTGCTGATAACGTAAATCGCCGAAGTCGCGAATATCTGCGCTACAGCTGAAACAACTTCCGTGATAGGCTACACTAGCGCAAAACGTATTGAGCATGCAGTCTCGCGTGTCTCAGAATCAGGTAAGCGATTTCGTGTGCTTAGAAGCATTCAAATTTCAAAAAATTAACACCAATAGACCCATGTTACTAACAAAATGAATGCGAATGGAAAGTAGAGCCACTGTTAGTGATCCCCCGCCACCGCCACCGAAAAACAACCAACGCTGATTACGCCTAGCCTACGGTTCAGCATGTTGTCGAAGGAAGTTTGTACAAGACAACATGAAGATTGGGCATCGAAAAGATTCCACTCAAGCACTGATGCAAGAGTGGCGTGCATGATACGATGTTTAGGTTTGCCTCACAAATCTCCCAGGAGACGTTTTGAATCCTTCATGCACAAGTGCAATTACTCGTACGAGTGATTGATTTGCGCATGCACTGTTTGAAAAAGCAAGAATATATATGCATGAAGAGAAACCAAACACTGCTAGGAGGCTTGGAGCATAAAAGACACTGCATGATGAAAGAGGCAGACACAACTGAAAGTATTTTTATTTATTTATTTACTGTATTTACTCGCGTAATCCTCACACTCGCATAATTCTCGCACCCCCCACATTCCCCAACAAGAATACGATTTCTTTTTTTCCTCAAGTAATTATCGCACCCCTGAAAACTGCCGCAATAATGTCGTCTGCTCGTTCCAGCCACTGATGATGATAGCGTGCACTATCTGGCGCCATCTACTAAGCATCAAGCGTACTATTATTGCACAGAGATGCAATCCAGTTCAAGCCAAGCCAAAGTGGCAAGTGGGCATTGCGGCGTGTTTTGTATGTTGTGTCGGTAATCTTGTCACGTTGTGGGGTGATACTGAAGCTACACAGCTGCTTTCAAGTTCAAAGTGATAGATCATGCGCTAAACAATGACAACAGGACCGCCGATAGGCCCTTCGGAGTCTACTAGTTTTGTGTTCGCTGCTGGTGATGGCAGCTGAAAGCCACCAAGACTCGTTGGGCCTGCCGTGGGCCTAAAACTTTCAAAGACACGCGTTGCCAAAGAAATGAATGCAAGGGGCGGGGGGGGAAGGGGGGGCGGCGGTCTCTAACAAATGAAAGCACTATCGCGGAAACTCGCCGACTGCTAGACAACCTCGATTATGTGCATTACATAGAAGCTATATCGAATTACGTCCAGAATTTGACGCGTTGAAATACGCTAACCATTAGATTTTATGGGTGCACACCCAATTTAAGACATCACAATCGAATTGTGAACCACTATTTGAGTGCTACAGGTGCTGCCCG